CAGATTTACTAAGGTGCCAGGGAAGGGATAAGTTGGAAAGAAACCAACAAAAGACAGTGAGAAGGAAAGGGGGGAATATGTGGGGAATGGAGACAAATGTTCTAGGCAGGAAACCAAGAGAGGGGAGAAGGTGAAAAAAGAAGTAGACAGGATGGTCAAGAAAGGGACAGCAAGAGACGTGTAGAAAAAAGGAAAAACAAAATAGTGATAAAGGAGTCAGTGGAGGAGGGGGGGAAAAGCAGAGTTACTTTCCAACAGATAAAGGGAAATATAATCTCCAGCTGGAAGCAGCCAGTAGCTGAGTCTATTCCTGGGTGTGCCTTTCAACAAGAACTGTAATTGAGAATGGTAACAAATAGCACAGGGATGTCTTCCCATAGGGGAGAAATCCCAGAAAGAATAACTGATATTCTTGTAAGTCTTGTGATCTGGGGCTCTTTGGACAGGCAGAGTTGGAAACCTACTGACTACAGAAGAGCAATGTTCCCTCCTGTGATGGGCTCTGGCTTTGCATCACCCATGTAGCTGTAATATTCTTCTGACCACAGATGTGAAATGCAGAACTGAAGTAGTTATGTTTTGACTTCCATTTTCCCTTTAAATTCAGCAGAATTTTGAAATCCCTCAGATAACAGTTTTGCCCCTTTGCTTACAAGAAACATTCCTAATTACCAATTATGTCTTGTGAATCATCTTCACTGAAGGTACATTCAGAGAGAACAAACAGATTCTACTGTAAAACAAAGCTGTACTCTTCTTTGTGAGTATTCAGACTAAGATCATCCAAATCAGCATGCAGTAACTTTAAAGCTAGCACCTATTCACCCTGCCATAAGAGTCTGAAGCAATGGCTATTTGATTATTATTTATATTCCATTAAAAAAATAGTGGTAAGTTTTTAGAGCTGCAAGAGGAAGATGCCCAGACTAACGTAGGCTAAACCATCTGGCCTTATCTGCGGATGCATTATGACAGACTTTAATAAGAGGATTTGCATGCAGTTTTTGCAGTGGATCCTCTTGTTGTTCAACACACAGTGTTGGATGTTAACGCTAAATGTTTTGAAAGAACACTAATTCATAAAATCCGTCACAGAAAAGTGACTTAGTGGCTGATGTTTGGCGATTGAAGAGCTGAGTTCAGAGCCTGCAAACCAGGAAATGTTCGGCAGTGATACTTTCTGCAGTGCTTCTGGCTTTGTCTGGAATTGTCTGACTGCAATTACTATCAAGTATAAGCACTTTTTTAATTCTGGATTGGCAGAAGTACATAACGATGGCTAACAATGCAGATTAGCTACGAACACAACTGGTCATATAATTAGCCTTAGTGAAACAATAAAACATAGGTGGATGGTAGCATCTTCTGTGTTGGTTGGCTGTGGATTGATGTAAATTGTATGAAGACAGCTGAAAGAGGAGGCAGGGAGATTATGGGACCACTGCTGAATGGCATGAGATGAATTATGAATTCTCTCTCTGCTCTGCTTGCCTCACGTGTAAAGATTATCCTCAACCCCAGGGGTTGTGCACCAGCAGCCCTGAGCACAAGTCACAGGTGCTTGAAAGTATGTATATTCCTGCCTGTTTGAATGGACACTGAAGCCTTTCAGCTCCTCTGTTTAACCAGGTCCACATAAGACAGGGTTTGAATGGCAAAGTGAGTCTTAATCTTTGGCTCTTTGTTGGGGAAGCCTTCATGAAGCCATAGGGGCACTGCCGAGCACAAGACAGAGGGGAAAGGGGAGCACCTTCCAACCCTCACTGACACCAGGGGCCCTGCTGCCAGGAGAAAAACATTTCCAATTCAGTTGTTCTCCCTGTGGCAAAGCTGAGATTCCCGTTCAGGACATTTAAAAGCCATAAATCAAAGCATCCCACAGTAGAACTAAATTGATCAAGATCAGGCTTCCCAAAGAGGCAGGCAAACACACATCACGGTAACTAAAGAGGCTCCGGTGCCTGCTTCAAGCAGTCCTACCAAAGTGAGTGCACAGCTGCATTTTCTTTCAAAATACTACTGCAGCCTTTTAAGAGAGAGAGGGAATAATCTCAATTCTGGCAGCAGAGAATATTTCACAAATCATATATGCTTTGGCATCAAGCCCTTAACAAAGCCAGGGGCCTTTACTCACAGGCTTTGCTGGGAGAGATCCACCCACCTCAAGTGGGATTAATTAAAAGAGGCATGTATCATGCAAATAGTTTCTGTTTCCTTACAGAAATATTCAGAGCACATAACCCGAAACAGCTTTAGAATCAGAGCGAAGCAAGGAAGAAAATTATTTCCTGCTCCCCTAACCGCTTTCCTTTCCCTGTACAGTATGCAAAGAATAGTGAGAAAATGCAGAAAGCTCACAGTTTCTGGACAATTCCTTTGAATAAATGCTAATAAAAGCTGAAAGGGAAGGGGGGGGAGTGTGGTTTTATTTTTTTAAAAGGCATAGGCAATACCTCACTATAAAGTAGCAAACTCTCCAAACTAAATGTGTGTTCAGCCCCTCATTGGAACAGGATGGTTCCAATCTTACTCCTGGAAGCGACCTTTTATCTTAAAGTGGAACACAAGAAAAATAGAATGCTACTTCTTTGTGTGTCAGGATTTTCAGCTCCATGTGATAGTGACGGGGCTGCAACCAACCAACCTATGGAAAGCTGGATGCTAACCTATTCCCTGGATGTGACAGATCCCAACACTTGAAGAAACAACACAGCAGCAAACAGCGGCAGCACAATCAGAGCATGGAGCCTCAGCTCAGAAAGAAATTATGGAGAAAGGTGAGGTTTCCTCAAGAACTCTTCCTCAAAATGATTTCTTTTTCCTTTTAATATCTCAGACCCATTTTCTGAATCAATCTCCTATGATCCTGCGAAGGCTGTGATTGAAACCAGACCAAGCGTAGCAGAAATTCCAGGGCTCAAAAGGACTTTTAATAGGCACAGGAGCCTGCCACACTGTCCCCCTCAGGTGATTTCCCCTGCAGCCCCTTCCCTGGGATTTCCTCTCCCGGAGTTTAGTCAGCAGGAGAAACCTGAAGTTTCAGCAGAACGGCAAACCCTTCCTGCATTCCTTAGCATCTGAGAATTTTAAGTCTGAGGCTTTCATAGCTCTAAAAAAAGGGGACTAGGATCCAGTCCAGAAGATGTGTATTGCAGATATTTTTTTCCACAAAAATGTCAGGCACTCGTACATTCAATTATGCATCCAGCTACAGCATTTTAAAAGCACTGACCTCCTTTATCAGGCCCTGCTTCGCCTGCCACCAGTGGCTGTCATAAACTGAGTTGTTCACAGGCTGCTTATCCCAAGTGTCTGTGAGCTTGGAAATTCCTTTCTGGTCTCCATCCCACCTATCACTTCGGCATCAAAAAGATGGTCATCAGACATGCTCTTGGCAAGCCACCTCAGGAAAGCAATGCTCATGCAGAATCACAGCCAGGCTGGACAAAGGACACATGCTGTTCTCAAGGCAAGGTGAGAGACACTGGAGAGCTATGGTTCTTCCCAGTAGGACAACTGATGAAACGCTGGACCTCCTGTCCACATCTGGTACATCATCTGTCCACCTATGGCACAGTGGGAACACCCCTGCCAGTGCCCTTCAAGCTCTCCCAGCGGGGAACCTGGGCTTCTTTCTTTCCAGTGTGAAGTTTAGTACCCAGAAATGGTGTTTCTCCCTAATGCAAGCTATGGAGTATCCACTGAGACGAAAGAATGACTTTCGTGATTAGGCAGTGCAACTCCTTTTTCATAGAAAATAGATAAAAATGCTTCATTGATTTGATATACCCTCTTTAACTGATTTATTTTTCATATTATAATGGTCATAATGATATATAAGTGCTCAACTTCAGAAGTAGCAATCACCCTCCAACAGCGTGATATGCATCTCCATACTGTATAATATATAAATGGTGATGTTAGAAAAACTGGGCATCACATTCAAGTTGCTGACAGCTACCACTGATCTCACTTATTCAAAAGAAAGTATTCAATATTTTTTCTCCAAAGGCAGGTTACGGTTTTATTTTCCATTACTATTTCTAAAATTAAGAATGTACACATTTTCTTTTTGTTTCTGTTTAAGTAGGTTTTTTTGTTTGCTTTTCTCCAAACTGTGACTAAGCCTAATATAACAGTTAATTTATTAAAATTGGAGAAAGATCTTTGTTCCAGCATGGCCTAATGTGCCCATGCCTCTCGTAATTGGGGAAGTTACTGAAGCTGTAGGAGTTAGAGCCTTTCATATATGAGTGATTAAGTGTGTTATGTCATAGTGAAAATAAATACTAAGGACAAGTTTTTCATATAACTTATATTAAAAAGTGGTTAATGCCACACAGAATTATAACATATGAAAAGCTACTTTTAAAAGTACTGATAACTGCAAAGTTGTCAGAAGGAAACAATGTGATCATTAAAATCCTGTTCCTTAACTAAGCATGTTGTGCTGTGTGACCTACACTGTTAGACAGCTGCAAACTGTTTTCAACTGGCTGTAAATTATTTGCCTTGTGGAATAAAAATCAGATTCCCATCAGTTTGTTCCACTGATTCTACAAGGCCTTGCTCTTGTTCTCTCCCCAAAGAGCTGTTACTTCCTTCAGTGAGCACTCAAAATGGTGAAAGTGAGCTATTTGTTGCACCACTGCCCATGTTCTGGTGGAGGTCTAGAGGACTTGACTCTGTGAACAACGCCTGTGATCATGATAGCACGTAACCACAACAGGGGCTTTTAATGTAATATAATCTAGTTTCTTCGAACTGACTGACAAGAAAATGCTTTCTGCCACAAATACAAGAATCTTTCCAAAAAGTCTTATTTGTGCTAGAAATCGGTTCCTCACAACACCTTTGACTCTCTGCAGGGAACACACGGTTGTGTTCTGTTACTGGACTCACTCAACAACAGTGCTTGACTTTCCTGGGTCGTGCAGCATCTGTCTGTTATGCTACGGGAAGAGAACCATGCCCACCACCAGGAAGCTGAGACATCTTACCTTGGGACACTGGGAGGAGCCCGCGTCGGCCGGGATGGAACTTGGGGAGGTCCTCCATGGGCTTCACCACCACTTGAAAATGGTGGCAACGGTCCTGGGCGGAACGGGACTGGGGGAGCCCCTGACTGAGGGCCTGGAGATGGGATTGCAGGAGCAGGTCCTCGGCCAGATAAAGGTCTGGTTGGGGGATTATTTAATGTAGGCCTCCTCTGAGTTGAGGGACTTGGAGGAGGTGATCTAGTGAAATACCAGAGATTGAAGATGTTTGCTACAGTGCGAATATTTATTTAAAAAAAAAAAAAAAGTTAAAATATTTTTTTTTCTTTGCACCCCCTTTGCTGCCAGTTTCAGACCTATATGTATACCTAACATATACCATTCCCATAGACAGCACGCTCTGAGATAGAAAAAATGGAAATACAGTCAAGGAGCTAATATGTAATGGATTGAAATGCTAGAATTCTAACAGTGTTGTATGAAAAGGATTTGCTAGGACATGCAGCCTGAAGGACTGAAGTTTAATAAAAGCTTGCAAGAAAAAGCCCTGTGAATACACAGTTGGGGTTAGATTGCAGAGACAGGTGGGATTTCTTCAGTAAAGGAATCAAAACAGTATTTGGTGGCAGAAGTGGCTGCTATTTGAAGCATCAGACAAGCTGTAAATCCAACATAAAGTATTCTAGCAGACAAATGTCTTGTCTGGTGTTTATATGCATACCCATAGAATGTGTATATGTGGAAAAAGGTTTTTAAAAAATAAACATGTAAATGGGGACATGCAGCATGCATGCAGGTTCGCATCTGCTCTGGAGCACAGTATCTGGATTTCTCGATTTGGCCTCCAGCTAGTGTAACATGGTAGCACACAAAGCTCCTGGCACTTTAGGTAAAATGCAGCTCACTGAAACTAGAACTAGAAGCAGATTTTTCTCCTAGCCGGGCTTAAACAGAATACAGGATGCTGGGAAAAAGGCTGATGGCTTTACTAGAAAGAGCTCATGCGTGTGTCTGTCTTGAGTCAGGTATTCTAAGCAGCATGCAAGAAAATAAATCCGCATGTTCTTTATCTTAATGTACTCTAAGCAGCTCAAAATAGCATCTAAATAATACCAAGATGTCTGATTTCCCTCACAAGTGTCATTAAGACCTGCCTAAAACACAGGTAAGAAGGGAGGTGCCAATTCTAATAACGTCTGCCAGTCCTAAATTTCATTGCAAAGCAAATGAAGAACCTCACCTGCGGGCCTGCTGAAGCCAAGAGTCATCTACAGGAGGTGGTGCAGGGGTTGACACAGTGCTAGTGCTGATATCGCCAATGATTGCTAGGGCTTCCTTTAGAGCTTGGTACATGCGGAGCATTTCATCTCGCCTCTGTGCCTGCTCAGCTGATTCCTCCATTAGAGTATTTTGGTCCTCAGAAGAATACAAGTGAGCCAGGAGCTCAGCGTTGATAAATTCTTTCACCTATTTCATTGCACAAAACAAATGCACAAATAAACAACAAGAAAAATCGAAAATAGAGCATTGAACAAGTACAGTGGGTGACCCACAGAACCAGGAGACAGACCTATCTAAATTGAAGCAGTTTTTCCCACTGCTTTGTTTACATTGAGTCTTGGTCGTGCAGCTTTTTGTTAGGTCTAGTGAGGGACTCAAAAATGCTGAACTCAGAATGATCTGATGGTGCAGCAGCCTGGGGGGGGAGCTGAGACCCAGGGAAAGGCTGGCATACAGCTGGGCAGAGCAGCTGGAAAGGGATGGACTGGACATTTTAGCAGCTGTCTGCACGTAGATGGGTTTAAAACAATTACAAAGCTACATTTTGAGATCGCTATTCACATCTGAGAATCAGACAGTTTTGTGCAGTCCCTCCACAATGAACTGTGGACTTTTTTTCTGTCTTGGAAACATCAGACATGGTTGGAGTTAACACTGGTCTTTGTCTCTAACACTTTACAGCATCTCTGTCAATTATTTTCTTAGCAATGATATACCTTGCTGTAAATGATGCTCTTCATCTCCAGCAATTTTGCCAGATTCTAAATATCCCATGCACACACATTCAAGCTGAAGGAAGAAGTCTCCAAGTAATCTAATTCAATATATTGATTTCGTGCTGTGCCTGCCCCAGTTATGGAAACCAGGGCCACAATAAGATAAAAAGCTAGAGGTGTTCTGATTAAATAAGACTTTGGTAAATAGACCAACTGCTGACCTACTAAATCCTTGATTTGAGCCTTTTGTCGCTGTTCTGATCTATGTCTCATTTGGTTTTTTTTTTGCTCTCTAAAGGGTTTGGAGTTGTTTTGAGCTGGAGATACTACTACTGGGAATACACTCCCAAGATTCTGATTACATAAACCTGAGTTCCATTTGCACATGGGTTTGTGCTAGTCAGCTACAATGATATAAATCCTGATGAGTCTATGGCAACGTTTGCATTCATATGAGGTCAGCTGTGCAAATTGTGCAGGACGGTGAGCAGAAGGTCAGGACAGATCTTACAGGGAAACAAACCCATATTGACTGAGCTTGGCTGTCATTTCCCATTCATAGATGATAAGAGATGCTCAAAGTCTTAGCAGAGCCTGCAAAACTTTTTCATGAGCCTCATGCTGTTTTCCAGTAGATGGTACTGATCAAGAGCCAGAGTACACTACTTTCCTCATGATTGCCAAAGACTCCACATTAAAAACAGATATCACAGTTAAACAGCATCACATTCTACTTGATGAAATGAGCATTTTAATGGCAACACTTCAAAAAAAAAAAAAAAAAAAAGAAGTCCTAAAATTAGATTAAGGCCAGAGCTGATTGTAAAAGCATTGCTAAACCGCAAGTATCTCTTGGGAAAAAAATAAAAAAATCCTGTGATGTTTATCATGAGATCCCTGCCTGCCACAAGCACAAACTCAAGAAACTCGCTGCACTCTTCTGAAAAGGAAGACTACTGTATTAAGACTGGTTCTTGAATCAGCCTCCTTCCTTTACTAGATAGAGGAAGGCCTTCCTAAATAGCCACTTTCTCTGGCTTGGGAAAGGAAGAGAAAGTGACACTTTATGAGCCTTTGCCTTTTTATAAAACAGAAACATTCACCACAATGTTTTAAAATGTTTTCCCTTACAGACTTCAAACCAACAGTCAAAGCTGAATCACAGCCAGCATCCAGAACACCCATACTGCAAAGCCTGCCCTGTCCCTCTAGAATGGGGTAAGATGGGCTTGCAAAGAACTCTGATTTATCAGTGGGCAGACTGCAAGCAGCAGAAAAGCCTCAGAAAATTAATTCCTTAAGGTTGGTAGTAACAAGAACTCCTGAGTTTTCCTGCTCAGCTGAGATGAATATTAGCACTGGTATAGAGCATGTATTATCTACTCCAAGACCACCCCTCTTGAATAATCTGCAATACCTAGGCATCAAGAACTAATGGTGAGAACTCTGAAATGTGTGTTTTGTTTGTGCATGTTTGAATTTCTAATGGTAACTCAATGCAATTCCATGCGCTGAATGTATTTTCTTTTAGGGTAATCAACATCCACCCCTAAGGGAAGAATAAGGGATGCATTTGGAATACAACAATCTAAGTTTAGGCCTCAAAACATGCTTAGGGATATCATCTAATTATTTGCTGTATGTTGAGTTTGAATTTGATACTTCCTCTGAATTGAAAGTGCTCATTTACAGGCCCACAAAGTGGAAAGGAAGTTCTAGGAGGACTTGGGAGGTAACAATTGTCATGGAAACAAATTCCTTGGGATCAATCTGTTTCCAGACTTTTGAAGGCAATAGAAAGTACAGACTATTATCAGCCAGAGGAAGAGAAGATATTTTCTCTTAACTCCAAGTGAGTAGGTTGGACTCCTGAAGGCTCCAAGGAGCACACGCACTACTTAATGGGACCCACCTTCCCTCACAGCTGCACTTCTTTCCAGGTCTTTGAACAACTTTTTGACCTGCTTTAGCAATCTTAATTCAAGCATTCCTTTCTCTTTTTAATAGCTCTGCTTTTTGAAAAATTCCTATTTCAGTTATTATATTTAATGTGGTATTTACTGCCTATGCTGCAAAGAAAAAAAAGTGCATTAAAGTTTTCAGTCTCGTTCTTTACAGTCTTTTAAAAACTTTTGACTCTTTGCCATGAATTTAAATTCTAGGATTGAGGCTTGGTTGTCAGATCACTAGCAAGTCCAAACACAGCTATGGACTATGAGGTCAACTGAAAGGTGGATGATGTGGTAAGTATGCTGTTTCTATGTGCCACTGTCAGCCAGCATGGCAGGTTTCTACCAATGTAACAGTTGATGAGATTGCAAGTACAAAATCTTCTGAGTAAAGCAAGCACTTCTGAGACCCTTAAACTATTCCATATGAGGAGGTGAGTGGCAGAAAATTTAATGTAAACTTTCAAAAGGAGCTGCTCACCAACTCTGCAGTTCATGAAATGAGAGCTGAAAAACAGCCCTTTTAAAAGGCACTGAAGTTGTGCTAAGTGGAAGAAGCAAGTTGCTAGCTATGACCTGGAAAGAGCCGAGGGAATACGCTCACCTTATAAATTCTAGACCACGTCAGATTTCAGGTGGAGAAAAAAAATAGGCAGCTCCATTGTTCCCGTGCTCTTCTGCAAAAACTCACCCATGACTGGAACATAATTTGGAGTCTGACTTCCCTAAACTTACAAGAATTCAACAGAGTATCTCTTGTCCTCTTGCAAAAATTCTACTCATATTGTCTTTCCCTGGAACTGCCAATGAAATTTCCTGTCCAGCCACCTACCTCTCAGGTGAAACACAAATTCTACAGGGCTAATGAAATTCATCAGCGTAAAAACAGAGGTGACTTCAAGTCGAGAGAAAATTCCTTTCTTACCAGATTTGTGTAACAACACACTTGTATTTGTAACAACTGATTGGCAAAGGTACTACCCATAACTAACAGGAACTGTGCGCTCCACGTTAATTCTTATGGCAGCAACGGCTCTAATAGCCAGCTCAGTTCAACAAGGTCCATTCAGTACTCTGCCAAAAAGGAAAGGCTGAGATTCTAGCACAGTGGAAAAACAATGATATTTCAAAGCCATTTCTTTAATCAAATAATCTTCAGATCTAAGAAGGACACACACGATAAATCAAACAACCACATCTGCTTATCTAAACAACGGTGTCCAAAGCTTCTAGATTTATTCCTTGAAAATGGTATTCAGAAAATATAAAGAAACCCAAATAAAATAAGAACTGCTTTAAGAAACTGTGACAAAGGACTACTGAAACTGAGACTGAAAATCAAGGAAGCACTGCTCCACTCCTCTCACAGACTGCCTAGATGGAGCTCCCAACCCCCTTTTCCCTGCTAAATCAATAACAGGGCAGAAAAAAAAGGATCTTTAATTTACCTTTAAATAATAACATATTCTGATTAAGACATGAATTCCATCTTCAGCATGCTGGAATTAGCACTCAGGGCACTGTGCCAACTTTCAGAAGGCTGCGGGACTTTGTGCTACTGAAGAAGAAAGGAGTATTTTGTTTTGGAGCGTGACATTTATGGGATCGTGTTCTTCTCCTCAGTTTGTACTGTTGTTGCTGTCTGTTCAAGAGGTATGTTTGTACATGTGCAAGAGATTTAACAGACGTTGAAGTAGTCTAGAATCGTGGCTGTTACTTACATTATTGATCATAAGGTGCATGATTGTTTTCGGTATCAAATCTCGGATACATTTGTTGATAATAGACATGTAGGAATCCACCAGATTTCGAATTGTCTCCACCTGTCTCTCCAACTGGGGGTCCATTGAAAAATTGTCCGCTTGGCCATTCTCATCATTTTCAGTCTGCATGGAAGAAGAAAGGAAAAATCAAATATTTCAGATTACAGCAAACTGGAAATATACTGGGGGGAAAAAATAGACTTACAACGTAGTAAACCAGTAACGCAACTCACACAAAGAATGTCTGGAGGTTTTCAGGTGAAGAGGTATGAAGGTAAATGAAACCCCAAGATACTATTTCAGATCACCGGTTGCAATATTTAATGTCAAATCTTTTGCCATCCAGATCCTGCCTGCCTGACTCATGCAGCGCTGTAAGTCTGGATATTGAATTTTACCCTCTTATGGGGACAAAACTTCCTTGTTACCCAAAGCTGACTCAATTGTGACAAATTCTGCATTTCAGTCTCAGACTTGTTAGATGTGAATAGCACCTATCTAAACAAAGGATTTTTTATGATGGATAACAGCAAAAACATCATTGGTTCCAATGCTCATAACATAAGCTGGTTTATATATTAGAGATCTCTTTTCCATTGGACAGAAAAAAACCTTCTTTGTATGTAAATAGGTGACCTAATTAAAGAAAATACAAGGAATTTTAACTGGAAGCTAAAAGGTATGCACTTTGCTTTGGTCTGGCCTGCACAAACCCAAGAAAACTGAGCAATAAAAAGAACAATATCCCTTTGACAAAAATCACACTGCTTTCTGAGGCTCAAAGACGCCAAAAGAAAGGAATTTCAACCTGTGAAGTAAAAGGGCAATGTCCTTTCCACAGACTCTGACACATAATAGTTCTCCCTGAAAACTAAGACAGCGAGCACTTCAGCCATGCTAGCATGAACTAAAATCCAAACCTGTTCTGTGGATAGCATGAGGAAACAGTAATTACTTGCAAAAACTAATAAACTATAATAGAAACTAGTTATATACCAGCCAGATATCACTACCAGCACAATTCCATTGACAACATAGCACTGAGCTAAACTTTGCACATCAGCAGTCCTTTACAGACTCCTCGATCAGTTGCAATTGGTAGCCAACCTGTTAGCAAAAGCCCATTGGAGCTGGAAAGAGGCCTCTCCTTGCACAAAATGCTGAGCCACAATTACCCTGAACCTGATTTGGAATACTTTGTTGTGTATACCAACTACAGTTTGTCCATGTATTCTTACTTCTGCTGCTGCTGGTTTATTTTTTTCTTTCTCCTTGTTTAAAAGATAGATTACAGTAAGATTCTTAGCTTGCTAAGCAGCGAAGTGACAGATGTTTATCATTATCCTCATCAAGAGAATGTAAAGTGAAAATAGTAATTAGTCTCTGATCTTAAAGTCAAAGAGTGATACGTCTGCAAACATTTAACCTTTTATATACAGGCACACAGGTGATATTTACAGAGAGTGAGTAATACTTCAGGAGTCCATGTCTTGTTTGAAACTGTAATGGAGCTGATTTTATACTGTTGATTTGTTTTCTCTAAAAATTAGAAAGTAATTTACTTTTTAATAAATTACCTTCAGTAATTTATTACAAAAGCTCTTGACCATAGCATTCCTACTGACCGGCCATCCCAACTGAAGGCTTTTCGTGCCAGCAAGCACTTTGATGCAAGTGTTGGCATCACACCCCACACCATGGAGATGTTTGCTTCTAGCAGCTTTCCCTGTTACTGCAGTGCACCTATAAATGTCATCAGGCTTTTCTCAGTGCCAAGAGCAGCACTTGAGAACAAGGGTGCTTGTTAATGCTGGGCATCATAACAAGATAGAAGTGATGGACACACCACATTCCATTTTCATTCCATTCTGTCAGAATGGTTGGGTTTGTGCTAGAGCATCACGGTGACTCTAACTCCAGCTCCAGACACCCTTCAGCCCACTGCACGCCATCTGCATTCTGAAAAAGCATTCTCAAGTCTCCGAGTAACAGCAGTGTTTTGCACACACTGCACAGCATGCTGGCAGAAGCTGGAATGTAGGCCAAGAGGTGTCAGCATACTGAGCAGAAAAGGAAGAAGCCTAGAAATGGGTTTCTGTGCCTCTATTCCCAAGGGTCAGGGCAGCCACCATCCCCTTTCAGTGCTCATCACCCACAACTTGTTAATCCCAATGGCAAAGCTTTAGGTGCCAGCATCAACACAACTATAGTCATTTTAGGAGCTTTTTGAAGCCTACAGCAAAGAAACGATGGAATAAATGAGAGCTAAAAATCAAGTAAAGAAAATGAGATTCGCCCATGGAAAGTGAAATTGAATATCAGATGAAAATACACAAAGCTAGATATAAGAAATAGGAGAAAAAATACATAGAAGAAGGTAACGTGGAAACCAGGATGCTGCTTTCATTTACACATAGAACACATTGCCACAGAGAGTAAAGAGACAGTCCTTCCTTTCAAAGTTCTCCATATTTGAAGGAATGAAAATAATCTCTCTTCCTTCAGCTCTGCAGAAGGTCTCACCTTTCATAAGCTGCCTTACGATCCTTGCAGGACAAGCTGGCAGTGAAACACCAAATACACAGCATTGCTACTGTATTACAACCACTCTTCTGTACTAAAAACGTATTAGGATTAATTAAAGCGTCACACAAGAGATAACTGAAAACTGCATGTGAAATTCAAACCCCTTAAGTTTGTGGGAATTTTACTGTTAGCTGCAGTGGGAAAAGGATTTCACCCTACGGATGCATTTTGACCAGAAAAGTTATCAGTCTTCTCTAGACTGTAAACTCCTTGGTGCAAGAGTAAAGATTTAATGTGGTGCAAAGGGAAGGAGGCACGAGTAATTACACGCAATCCAAAAAAAGGAACAGTACCTCAGAACAACAGGATAATTTTTCTGATTGGGGGAATTATAAGACTGTTGAAGAGTGTCTCCAGAAATATCCAAGAGAGCTAATTCCTTCTGAAATTCACAGTAAAGCAGGGCAATACACTGAAAACAGTCCTGAGCTGGCCACACAGAGAGCAATACTTCTAATTTCCATGATTTCATTACATTCAGGGCAGCTGCCAGCATATTTAAGAATGTCTTGTATAACATTCCTGATGTCAGTTCCAAGAAGGAGCATTTGTCTAGCATTTTCATTAGAACAGTGTATCAACCAATTTTGTGTAATCAAAAAGGCATTCAATTAAAAATGACTGAGGGGAAGCAGATTTGAAGGTGACTGATGAAAGGGTAAAATCCAAAGCAGCAGCAAAGCAATAGTCCGCGTGCTACAAAATGAATCCATGGCTGCTGTGAGAAACCAATCATTTAAAAACAACTTTCATATCTTTCATTTACAGATGCAAGCTCATAACAACAACCACCTGAAAAGGAATTATTCCCTCCAGTTCATATTTATGTTTGAATTCACAACTGCTGAACACATAATCTGCTTTTATCTTCTCTTGTCCAAGCAGGATTTTTCTTTAATGCAGCACCACTCAGAAAGTTGCATTTGTCCTAAAGCCCCCTGCTTTCTCTCAAGTCTTTTCAACTGATTCTTGATATTCTCTCTTTGGTGCCTGTCTGATGCTGTATATGCAATGTAGCTAATATGCCCTCAGCTGCACACAGCGTGGCTTTTGCCAGAGGACTTCTGAAACCACATGACAGCTTCACGCAGGGAGGTTTTCTTACTGGAAGGAACCACAAGTAAATGACAATACATTGCTGTTGTGTATGTACAACAAAGCAAGCAGCAGAAAAAGAACATTTCCTGGGTAGCTTGGAAGCTGTCCTTTCCCCTCAGAGAGGGTAACTGCCACTCTCTTCATGCTTTCAGCATCTCCTGACTGTGAGTCGCTGCTGCCTTTCCTGAGCCACCCACAGGCTGCCCCTTTCAGCAGCGCTGCCTTCATTTGCAGCCCCGCGCTGCTCCGCACGCAGCTTATGATCCAGGTTTCCCTTGCACCTGGTCTGTCTCACTTCACACCCATGCAGAAGATTGCCAGTTCAATTTGATTCAGAAGCATTTAACTATCTGGATTAGTTTAAACAATCGTCTACTTGGATTCTTCTTTGTGGTTGCAGACATTGTATAGCACAGACCACGAGCTAAAACGTTCTGCTGAATCCACATACTGGTCCCCAGATATTTACATAACTTTAATGATCCCAAACGTTCAAAATCTACACTAGGCTCTCCCTGCCTCCTTTAATCAAGAATCTGATTTGAAACCATGAGACTGAAAGGAATGATGTATTACCAGACACATCCGGCGTAACTTTTGTCTTCTAGTTTGCAAGCCTTTAGGGTAGTTTTTGCAAACTTCAGCCATTTTTCAGCTTAGTGCAGCTGAAGGAAGTTCTTCTAGACTTAAAACCAAGAGGCAGAGAATGAAGGCAGGTCTCCTCCTGGTAAGACTGTGAAACAAAGCACTTGACAAAAAGACACAAGGAACAACCAACGAGGATGTCGAGTAATCACATCAAGTCGGTCCAATTTCCTTTTAGAGCAGAGATTTGGATCTTATGGGCATAAAGCCAGATGCCACATATTTCAGACTTCGGCAAAGCTTTTTGACACCATTATGATGTTTTCATAAAAGGAAGTGTGCTCCCTTTGCAATTACTGGATTGGGTGCACATTTCCATAGAAAAGCTGTCAGTGGCTCGCTGTCAAACTGGAAAAGTTTATAAAGGGCACTTCATATGGGATGTGTTAGTTAATGTGGTTATTAATGCTTTAATGCTCAGGATGGTGGGTTACAGCCTATGCTTATTACACTTACAGATGAGAAGAAACTTGAGGGAATGCAAATATGTTAGATGACAGGACCAGAATTCACAATGATCTAGAGAAACAGTTTAAAATCTAAATGAAACCCATTATGAATAGAAAATATTTGACTTAGGAATAAATCAGTTATAAACACACAGCATGAGAATGGCCACTTAAGTAGCTCTTCCGCAGAAAGGGAACTGCATCTGCAGCGGAACATAAACAGAATATTAGTCAACAATGTCCTGCTATTATGAAATCAGTACAAGAATTATATATCCAAGTTCATTTGTTACAATATCAGAAATTTGCGGCACATTTTAAGAGTGGTTGGAGGAAACAGAGGAG